GTTGTGTAGGCGCAAGGCGGCCCCGCGGCGTCCCAACTGCTTTTAAAAGCAGGGTCGGGCTGAGAGAAGCGGTGTCCCGGGTCTGCGGGAGGGCTGCAGAGCAGCGGGCGTGTGGCCTGCCAGCCGGTGTGGGGGGCCCTGCTGCACCCGAGTGAATGGGGCCACGGGCGGCAGCGTTAAACTGCTGGTTCAAAAAAAAAAAAAGGGAAAAAAAAAAGGGGGCAGGTGGTTGAAACGCTTTCATTTTATCTTATTTCCAGCTAAAGTTTGACTCCGATCGCTTGGAACACTGGATCAAGGTGAAGTAATTGCACGTGGCTCAGTCAGGAGTAAGGTTCCCTGTTGTTACACGTAAAACCGATGGGTTGCAGAGGAAGCTTGCTCCTGAGCTGCGCTGCAGGTTGTATGTATGGGCAGCACGGACAACTAATAGAAGAGATTTACCCCAAAGCACCTCCTCTTCTGTCTGCAACCATCTAAGATCAAGGAAAATGAATTCTAGGGTGAACTATCCATTGTATTAACTTCCTTGGGTACCCCCATGCTCCCACCCTCAGTCTGCTTCTTACGGCAGGTAGGAGTGTGCATCTGCCTCCTCATGGAGCCTCGCAGACCTCTCTGCAAAGGGAAGAAGTTGCAGAATCACAGAATCATTTAGGTTGGAAAAGACCTTTAAAATGATCAAGTCCAACCACTAACCTAACCCTGCCATCCCACCACTAAACCATGTCCCTAAGCAACTCATCTACACGTCTTTTAAATACTTCCAGAGATGGGGACTCGACCACTTCCCTGGGCAGCCCGTTCCAACACTTGACAACCCTTTTGGTAAAAAAAAATTTTCCTAATGTCCAACCTAAACCTACCCTGAAGCAACTTGAGGCCATTTCTGTGGAAATGTGGGCTGTCTGGAGTACAGGTGCTGCATGTGAAAATACACATCAGGACCGTTTAACCCCTCAGAGAGATGAATACAGGAGGGAAAATGACTCAGACTCTTTACACAGGGGCCAGCATAGTTATGCCAAAATGCTGACACCAACTTTCATAGGTGGTGGTTGATGGGGACTAACTCAGCAAGTCTCCATCCAGCTCCCAGGGACTGGGTGTTTGCATTCTCCCAATGTGTTCTCCAATCACTGTGATTGGCACTAATGAATGCTTATTACTTAATCATTTCTAAGTCCAATTTTCCAGTCAATCAAGAGCAGTCAGAGAAACATGTTTCAAAAGACATCTATTTCTTATAACAGCCATACTGTCTTGTGTTACATTCCTACTGATGTTTGCTCTCTCTGGATGTAGGAAGTTTAAAAATTAATATCCAGCAATCCTTAGAAATGTTTTCTTTTCATTAAAGAGAGTGGAGCAAGCCTCTGAGTATGCTGTCTCTGAAGCTTTCTCCCTTCAAAAGTCAAGGTATCCACAGGGGCTTTGTGGTGCTGTGACGAGTTTGGAAACCGTGGAACAGCTGCAAGAACACGATGAGGGCTGTGAGGAAGGTGAGCTGAAATACAGCTTGCCACAAGCTGCCTAAAATGAACTGTTCTTGATTCAGCATTGTGGTTCTGGTCTGAACAGGCTCTTGCAAAGCTTGAGACCATAAGAAACAGTCAATAGTAAGATGTCTTTCATCTAATGGAGAAAGGCATAAGAAGAATCAATTGCTGGAGTTTGAGGTAGATCTTAATTAGCATACCTAAGAGAGGGATAAACTCTGTCTCCTGGAGATTTCAGGTCAAAACAAGGATAAATACTGCCCTTGAAGACACGCTGTATGGTCAAGTACAAGGTAGTTACTGAAATTTGAAAAAAAAACCCTGCGGTACATTAAAAAAAAAGGGGAGGGAAATTACCTCCTATCAGTGCTAGAAGTACATCTCCAGTATAAAAAGCTGACAGGAGACAGGGTTTTAAAATCTGTGTTAACCATTCTTTTAAGACTCAAAAGTGAGCCTTACAGAATGGAATGAAGACAGTCTCAAGAGCATCCACTTCAATACAGGAAGGCAGCTTTTTCACTTGTAATCATCAGGGGTTCAACTAATAGCATGGAATACACATATCTGCTTACAGTGCACTCTCTGAATGCGTTATACAGCATAGTGGCTCAAAAGGAGCTGTCTTTGCAATTGGTGGAAAAGCTGCTTGCTTTCCTCATGTTTCTTTATTATTTTTATTTGCCCTTCTCTGCTAGGGTTTTCCTTTTAATAGCTACCAATCCCTCATGATTGTTTCTAGCTCAGCTGAAAGTCTTTTATCTGGAATCCATTATTAGAATACTTAATGGCATTAACTACACATAGTCCACTTTGCAGAGAAAGATAGCAATATGAGAAGTGCAAGGACTCCTTTACTCCAGTTATGAGGAGCTCATGTTTCCCTGTCAAAAAAGTAACCCTTCCCCAAGTGATAAGCTCTTTTTCTCTCTTCTTTCTGTTGTCAGATATATTTCCTTGTTTCTGAGCTGGCCTGAGAGATTATAAAAAAGAACACAAGTTATTTGAAGAACAACAAACTAGATTTATGTTTTCTTAAAAAAACCTGCCCCTTTATAAGGAAGTTCAAAAAGGCTTTATTGCCTTAGAAATACCAGGACTCAATGGGAACATCATTTTGTGTTAGAACTAGAGATTTGGAGCGCTGCTTCCTCCTGTCTATCAGCTGCGTGCCTTTACAGGGGATGACTTCCACTGCAGTGGCTGCTGAAATCCCTGCTCTTTGCCCATCCTTGCCGTACGGGTGGCTGAGGATGGCTCAGCTTCTTGTGGGGCTGCTCCTGATGCCTTGCAGTTCACAGCCCTGCGTTCTGATTCTGGAGCAGCTTGGCCACCCAGGCTGGAGGCCAGGCAAGGCCAGGTGGAGGCAGCAGCCACGTTAGCTGTCCTTGCTTTTGAGTAGGAACTCTGAAAAAAGGAATGTTTGCATTTTTCCACAAAAGAGTGGAGATGCAAATAAAGTCCACAGAAGGATTTTATACCCAGCTGTTCATTATGCATTTGAGCTCGCTGAGGAGTAACAAATCAATCATGGGTGCATTCCTATAGTTGCAGTCTTAATCCTGAGTATGGGTAGTCCCTTGTGAAGTTTGCCACTTGGCAGATTTGTAATCTAGACTCACCAGTCATTCCTGGAGCTGTGGTACTTGCAAAGGTTAACCTGTATGCATGAAGTAAACATTTGTCCAAACAGTGGTTCTTTTTGTATTTAACATACGGCAACCTTGGCTGTACATGTGGAAAGTATCTAAGTGTCTGCAAGTGCAATGGTAAAACATAATGAAAGCTATCCGAGTTATGAATTAGCTCATGTGAATTCCATCTCCTTGATAAACGCTATAATAATCCCATGAGTGGTCTAAATGTCCACATAATCTTGTAGGAAAAATGGGGTGGAGAATAATTCATTTGCAACATATGTGACGGGAAAAAGTTCACCACCTTCTCTTCCTGTTCTTTTATAGATCAGGAAGATGAGAACAGAAGTATTAGCCTTACTTCATTTTCTGTCGCAGATCAGCTTTCAGTCATTTTAGACAGCCTTCCCAGCATGTGATATAACTACCCCAGAGACAGTCTTTCTTGTTTACACTTACCTGTATATTTTTTAAGCAAATGAAGTCATCAGTCTCTTTCCTCATGATAGCCCAAGAGCTGCTCAGTAACTGGATGAACTCCAAACTGCAACTGGAGCTGATGAGCGATGGAGAAGAGGAAGTTGACTCTGTCCTCCAGGAAAAGCCTTCTGCAGCCCATCTGAAGTATGAGCAGTTTGATGGTGAGAGCACAACAGAGCAGTTCCTGGCTTCCTTTCTGAGGATGTGCTGGGGAAGGGAGCCAGGCCTCATGGCTTGTCAGACCGAGAGGTAAAAGTTGCTTTGAGGCCAGGATAGTGGGCTCAGTAGAAACAAGATTAGAGGTAATGACTTTTTTTTCCCCCAGCTCTTACAGCAGCTTGGTGTAGGGCTGCACAAATGCACCTCATAAACATTCGATGTCTCCCTTTGCAAAAGAGAAGTTTTATTTCTTTAGTGTGCAGGTGTTTGTGTCAAATTTATACAGCCATTTGAGATGCTCAGAGGCAAGGCAGTAAAAAATGGACAAAATGTTGTTACTGCTTTAGCATATTCAATGGGAGACTGATTAAGACTCTGGGGATAAATGGAGTGCAGTCAGTGTGTCCGCTTTCATCAGAAATGCATTCAACAGTCTGGGAAAGTGATCCCTTTAATTACGTTAAGCTTTGTGATCTGAGACAGAGGGGTTTATTCATTTCAGACTAGCCTAAGGTAATCTGAATTCCTCATTTCAGACTTGTGCAGCTATTTGGAACATGAATTGGAAAGTTCTTCTGTCCAAGAATACCTACAGCATCTTTTGCAGAGTGAAGTTGTGAACTGTGGGATAGTGGAAGACCTTAGACTTGAAGACATCAAGGAAAAACAAAAACTCACAGATCCACGAATAATCATGGAGGCCAGACACAAGCAGGTGAGCAGGCAAGGCAGCGCACTTAAAAGGAATAAAATGGAGGATTATAGGATTAGAGTAAATGCTCAGTGATACTTCCCCAGTATTCTCTCCCAGCCCACCATAATCTCTGACTTGGAGGCAAATACCCGACGATATTCTTCCACAGTTTAGCTGAAACATTATTGCGTTTCCATGTGCATGTTAGGCATTCACAGTAGCTTTCACAGTCAACTTTCATAGAACCATAGAATGGTTTGGGTTGGAAGGGACCCCTAGAGGTCATCTAGTCCAACCCTCACTACATCTGTTCAGGTTTTCCCCCTTTCCAAAGGCTGACAGGAAAAGCCGCCGTGACAGTCAGTTCTGAGTTTGCTCCCATCAAGTAATACTGATTTAACCTCACTCTCTTGAATGGAGTTTTTTCCTGGTCTGAGAGCAGGACCAGTCCAGTCAGTGCCAGCTACAGATAGGGTTACTTGCTTCTTGGGAAACGTGGATTGTGACCGACCCTGTCAGTGTACAATGAACCTCAAATTCTTCAGCCTGTGGCGTCTGCTTTGACTTTTGCTGATTTCCTCCTTCCCAGGTGAAAGAAAACAGAATGAGGCGTCAGAAGGTGTTGGAGCTTCAGAGACAAGAAAAGGCCCTGAAGAAATCAGTTCTGTCTGAGGCCAAGCTTCAAGCACAGGAGGAGAACAGAAGGAAGGCCCTGAAGGCAAAGGAAGAGGAGATCCAGAGGGAAATAGTGAAGCTGCGAAAGGAAATGGCTGAGAAGAGGCACACCATGGCAGAAGCATGGAGAATGTAAGAGGGAGAGGGGGACATGGAAAAAAACATGTGCCACTTCCCGCCTTTTACTTCCTTCCTCAAGGGAAAACAAATCTTACTCTGCTGCCTCTTCTGTACATCTGCCTATACCTCAGTTGCAGAAGTCATTATGTTTGCAGCTGTCCTGAGAGCCACATCTTCTCGCTCCTTTTGCTAAATGGGAGGAGTGATGGTCCCAAAGGAATCTTTGCTATTCCTCTGCCTCAAATCCCCCCAAACCTTTTATTCCTTTTTTACCAACATCGATGGCAGAGTTTATCATTAGTGGAAAGACAGGCTAGAGATACTCTCAGCCTTCCATCAGCCATTACCGGTATGTACACTGAATCACAAAGCAGGGGTATGTTTGCACCACCGTGCATTCTCTCCGTCCACGCTGTGGCCACATCCAGCCTTGTTAGCATCAGATGCAGCATGAAAGCCAGTATAAAAAAAAAAAAAAAAAAAAAAAGAAAAGAATGGTCTGTGTTGAAAGTCTAGCACTTACACTGCTTTCTCTGCTATGAGAGAATAAAGAGCATTCTTGGCTGAAAATTCTGCAGAGACATAAATTTTGCTTCTGCTGAGCTTAGATTGTCGCAGAGATGTGACTTGTAGGGATGCCATTTATTTACTTAGGCAGGCCTGGCAAACTAAATCTTCTCATGCCAAGTGCCTTACTGAAATCTTACTATTTTCTTCTGCCTGCTATATTTTGGTAATGCTCCAGGCTGTTTAATCTCTGGGACCCTGAACCATGACAGAGGCTGTTTTCTAAGAAGGCTGAGTTAAATAATCAGCAGCTTTCTAAGCTGTAGAGGTGATTCACTTAGGATTGGCCAACAAGAGAGTGAAATCTGTGCTACAGTGCTTTCCTCATTGTATTAGATCTGTATGTTTGTTCACTTTGCAGGGAGGGGAAGAGACAAGAAAAAAGTCGGGAGCTGTCAATGCAGAAGGTAGCTATTACTGCATCACCACCCCTGGTCCTGAAGGAAGAAGAGCAAGGAGAGGAGAAACAGAGAAAGGCTCAGGAGCTGCTGCGCAGGATTCATGCCCATAAGCAGAGAGTGAGCATCACCTTTCTTTTATCTGAGACTCTGAGCTACCTGCCCTCCGCTACTGTTTGCAAAACTGAAGTTAAAAGTCCTGATTATCGTAATTTTTTACTTCTTTCAAGCCCTCCTTCTCTTACCAGGAAAGTAGAAGAGCAGGGCAATAAATATCTTGTAAGACTAGGAGCAAGAAATCCTGAGCTTCCATTCCCAGGATGTCTGTGTCTCAAGTGTACTCAGTGGGAGGTTTCACTTACAATTGTGGAAAAGATGTGGCTTGGAGGTCAGCTGCAAACATAAAGGCATTTGCAATTGAGAAATAGGCAGAGGTACAGAGGAGACAGCAGAGCAAGATTTTTTTTCCCTTGAGGAAGGAAGTAAAAGGAAGGAAGTGGCACAAAAGGGCCTGAGAAGCCCTTATTGTGTGTATGGGAAGATTATTTTAAAGATTGCCTTGCAGACCTTGGTGCAGGAGCACAGAGAGGAGAGAAGTGCTGAGGCCTGGGATGAATTTTGAGCTGGGTCTCCAAGAGTTGAAGTATGCCAGCACATCCACAGTAACAGGTTCTTCAAGGATCCACTCCCACTGGGTACAGTAGGATATTCTGTGATAGTGCAACAGCTCTTTTGAGGCAAACACATAGACCTTAATAATTCTTAATAGGAATCTATTTCTTTTACCCTTGTTATTCTGATACCACGGCCAGCTCTGGGTTAAACAGCTCTAGTTGTATCGAATACTTGCAATTAGAGTGATCTTTTTTGTACTGAATAATGGGCAGTCTCAGCAAAGGGAATAAATTTCCCTGAGTGCAGGTATGAATACCATCCATCACATAATGTTTTTAATTAATAGAGCAGTCATCATCATTAGTGTCTACTTATCTACATCTAGAATTTTTTTTATAGAAGAATCCCATAGCTTTTATGGTGATTCTCCTCATGGCTCACTTCATCTGCCTGTCTGCTGGATTTGAGCTTGGCTACTGTTTAGCAGTACACAACCTCTCTCCAGCACAATCTAAGCTATGAAGATAAGTCTGAGTGGAACCACAAAACAATTTAGAGCTGGCAAAATGTGAAAAGCCACAGCTTAGCTGAGCTAAGCAATAGTGACACTTTGATTATTTTCCTAAAGCAGAAAGAAATAGCTAATGCATTGACATTTTGTCCTCTTTGTAAGTCGGAGATTTCAGTGAATGAGAGGAATGCAATTAAAACAAGGCATTATGACAAAAGGGGAACAGCTAAGTCCTGTAAGTTGACCCACTTGGAGGATCAAAATGAACAGTGTCTGCAGTGACAGGGCTAGAATTATGGGGTAGATTAGATAGCAAATTGCTGTTCTGTGTAAATCATCCCCAGAGGCAGCGAGTCTAATTACACAATAGAGGAAAGGTTTGGCTTCCTATTGGAACAAGGGTGAGCTTAGGTTGTGTCATAAATTCATGCCAGGAACTGTCTTGATTTTTGTCCGAGTTCTTTTTTTTTTTTTTTTTTAAAAAAAAGTGGAAAGTGGTCCATGGAGATATTTGCAAACTGTTCTCAACAGAAGTGTTCTTACCTCTAGCATTGTAGACATTTTCTAGATTTTGAAACATCTTTCATGTCTCTAGAAATTCTATGTTCCTCACCCATTTTATTCCTTTACACTTGGTGAGCTGAGTGTGTTTCACTCCGAAGCGTAGAGCTTCATGATGTTATTCTTCTAGTCCCTTTCTGCTTTTTGTAGAAGACCTGCACGTGCTCTGCATTACTTTCTTTGCCCTCAAGGTAATTGTGGAAAGCGGGGATTCTGAAAAGAATCTCAAAAAGAAAGTTAGACAAGGGGAAGGGTGGAAAGGATCGGCATTTGTGTGACAGGCTATATCTTGCTCATTGGTTTTCTGAAACTCTCCCATCCAGTGCATGCAACAACATTTCTCTGCTTGGCTGAAAGTCATTCTGGAGCACAGAATTAAAATGGGAAAAGCCAGAGCCCTTGCCGACTGGAAATGCCAACTGAAGGCCCTGCGAGCCTGGAGAAACTATACTTGGGCCCAGAAAGTAGAACGGGAGACACAGCAATGGGAAGTTCATCTCCAAGATCAAAACAGGTAGTGACCCTACACTGTGGAATTCTTCCTACTGCAGCAGTACTTGGGCAGTGCAGCAATCAGGGGACTGTAAAAGGGACTTGCCAGTTAGCCAGCAGGAAGAAAACAGTAGCTTTTTGAGAAAATTGCTACATTGACTGCAGCCTGCCAGACACTATGGCACAGATGAAAAGGAGGACAGAGACAAACAAGAGCTTTAGCGCTTTCCGACAAGCCTGCGTCTCACTCTCCTTGTAGGTATCTTTCCTGGAAATCTCACCCTGGCTTGTTCTAGACCCCAGAGAATATGAGATGCCATATTTATTCCTGATTAATACAGTTATTTCCTATTTCAGTTGTAGTATAGCAGAGATCATTTTGGCCAGTGCCTTTTATTAAGGGAGGCTGTGGGATGAATTCCCTATCAGCCAGAGAAAATTTTGCTCTTGCAGGTGTCTGGAAGGCTGTGTGGTGAGGCACTGCCACTTCCTCTTATGCAGCTGGCATGGGAACAGGATACCTCTTTTGCACCTATCCTACAGCACAAGGGTGACACAGGAAATTGCAAAATGTGACCTAGGGGAACTTACTTCAAATCAATGGGCATCCTTTCTGCCCTCCCCACTCCTCCTTGGAGAAACTCTGTATGGCTTTGGAGGGCCTTTAGAGTTGAATGACAAAAAGACTTGTGCTATGGCCTGGACTGCTGTACTTGATGCAATTGTTTCAGGCAGGCCTGGGTAGAAGCCTCACTCCTATCATAACACAAGTGCTTTCTCATTCAGGAAAGAACAACTGTCTGCGGCGCATAATCGGCGACGGCTTTTGCGCTGCTGCTTTCTAGCATGGCAGCGCTGGAGCCAAGCAGTGATAGAAAAGCGGGAGCTGCAGATCAAGAGGGATGAGACAAAGAGAAAGATGGCACAGGTGCTGGAGGCAGTGTCACTGGGGAAGGGTGGCCTGGATAGGCCACTGGAGGTTAACAAGCCTGGGACAGCAGAAGTAAACCATCATCAAGATTTGCGGCGAGACAAGGTAAATCCTTCCCGTGTAGTTTCGTCTATTGGCATCACAGTACTCATACAAAGTACTTCTGTGCAATCTGAAATAGATAGTGCATTGTCCAGAGGAAGGCTTCTTTCCCAGGGTGACTCCCAAATACCTGCCTGCAACTGTTCAGGAGGGAAATCTTTAAAAATTAGAGGCAAACATGAAGGACGATGGATGAGTTTTAAAAATAAATAATCTCTAATGCTGCCAGAGAACAACCCTTCATGTACTGTGAGTCGCAATGAGTGTCCCACCCCCAGATTGCCTTTGCTGAGAGGTTAGTTACATCTTTGATGCCTGCTTAGACTGAAAAAGAATAACGCTTGACTGCACGACAAGAGATTTTGTCATGCTAGTGCAGCTCTGACTTTTAAGCATGGGGAAAAAAGTTGTCACTGGCTGTTTCAGGATAATGCACATCACAAGGAGGCAGGAGAGGAGAACTGGAGGTTGCTTCCTTAAATTGTCATTTGACAGGTCAGAGCCTGTCCTTCCTTTCTGTCTATAAAGCCTGTACCACAGTAGTGTCCTGATCCCAGCATAAGAGCTCACACACACGTATTACAGGTCAAGCTTTTTCTTTGCTTAAGTGTCAGCAAAAGTTGATTTCCTATGGTGCTTATATTATCCTAGTGTAGGCCTGTATTTTTCTTTTGATGCACTAGTAAAATCTGTGCTGGAAGGATGGGACTGAATTTGGGGTTTGACCTAGGAATCAGAAAGCAGACCTTCCATCTGATGCCTCTTCAGAGAAAGACCATGTGTCAGAAAAGGTGCAGCCTCATTCCCTGCTGTGCAGCAGTTTCATGGTACTATTTATCAAATCTGGAGAAGAGGCACAAGGAGCAGCACCTTGTAGACTTCTCTTCCATCTGAAAACGGACTGTCCAGTAGATCAGCCATGTAGATCATTTCAACAACTGTTTTTTCCTTTATTCTCCATCTGAGCACTGAGTGGGGACAACACAGTCAAAAAGGGAGTGTGCCAATCCCTGAGAGATGAGCTAACCCCTGAGAAATGAGCTGTCCTGAGCTGTGCTCCCTAACAAAATAGTCAGGATATATTCCTGACAGACCTCTTGCCTTCCTCCCAGTGAAATGGCACGCAGCTTCTTAACATTTCTTTCTCACAGCCTCCCATTTTGTGCATAAAAGGGCCCCTCTGCCCTGGCTAGGAACTGGATGAAGATTGCATAGCTGAGATTACCCTACTTCTCAGGCATCCCGCTAGATTTGCATTAAAGAAACATTATGTAGCAAGAGCAGAAGAGTGCTTGGTTTTAATCAATGCCAAATTTTCCTCATTTTTTTTCAACCCCTAGCCAACTGACACTTGCCTCATAAGGAAGGAACCTGACCAGACCAGAGACCACTCTTGCTGGGGTGCTCCTCACACATCTCATTCCTACCGAAAACCCAAACTTGCCTGGGAGATTACCCTGAAACATGCAGCCCCAAGTGCCCAGGACCAGGCTGTGTACAGGAATCAAATAGCCACTCTCCCCCATCAGGATCAGGCACCTGGTCCAAAGACAGCTCCTGCTTATGGTAGCCGTTTTGAGCACCGTCATGCCTTCCAGCAACGTCTGATTGAGGAACAGAGGCAGCAGCTTCAGAAACAGCAAGAGCTAATCCTTGAACTGCAGGAAAATCAGAGGCTGAGCAGAGCTAAAGAAGCGGCAACACAAGCCACAGCTGTAACCCAGACGCTTAACAACTCTGCTTCACAAACCAGAGAGGAAAAACAGAAGAGGGAAAAACAGTCCAGATGCAAGAATACAACCTATTTGAGGTATATGTCCTTGATAAAGCAGGCTCAGTTAGTCAGCATGTCTCATTCCTACTCAAGTTGAGCCAGAATTTGCCAGGCACACTTCAGTCATGCTAGCACTCTCTGCTCTTCCTCTCACCTGTGACTTGGCCTCAAGGGTAGTATCAGGCTGGCCACAGTTCTCTGTCCTTCTCCCTTTTTGCAGTGGCTCAACACCATGTGATCCATACAGGATCCACTTAGAAACAGCAACGCTAGAGTGTTACACATAGTAGCAGCAGGGATTTAGTTGGGGAAAAAAGTGTGTCATGCTTAGTATTTCAGAACATGCAGCAGCCCTGGGTACTCAGCTCCTTTGCAAGGATGCATCATTAATCCCATTTCAAGCAGAAGAAAGGTGTATCAGGGATTCAGAATGAAAATGTGGCACAATGGAGATTAGAAACTACAGGCCTGTTTCTAAACCATAGGTGGTAGGTGTGAGACACTGTTTGACCACATTCATTGATGAATTTCTTTACTCTTTCATAGTCCACCTGTTTCTCATCAGCCAGAAAACACAAGGGCAGTGATGCAAGGCAGGAGACCCTCCAGCCAGCTGACCTCAGCTCATCCCATACTGAAAGGTATTGCTTTAGATAGCAAAGACCATTCCAGATGACTTTTCTCAACAGCTTGTCTGGGAACCTCTCTCTTTCTTCACCTCAACCTTGCTGGTTGATGACAGTATGCAAGTAAAACTCAGCACTCTCTTTCCCAGCCTGACCACTGCTGTGAGAGGGTGAGATGTTTTCATGCCCAGGTTGTGCATCTGTAAAACCTAGGCCACTGCAAGGCCCTCAGGTCCACACTTGGTACGCTGTGGTAGCAGTTACTCCTAACACTTGTGATTGTTTCTGGTGTGACAAGACTCAGAGAAGCTCTACAGGGATTTGCTGTCAATCTTATTCCCTTCATTGCACATCCAGGTAACACTTAAGTGACCAGTCATTTTCATCTAACTTTGACAGAGGTATTGAGATTTCAAATGGAATTAAGTGCCTACCCAAGGTTTTGTGAGACAACAGTAGCTAGGCTGGGGAAGGAGCTCCAGATCCCTGCCTTCTGTGAGATATCTCCCCTTCTCTGGCCACACTGGAACAGCATATACACGTTAAACATGCAGCACAGCCTTTTCATGCAGTAAATTATGATCAGGTTCTGTTATATCCCTGGGTTACGTTCTTCCATATCAACTTGGGAGGGGGTGGGGGGGGTGGTGGTCACAGTCAGCATGAAAGACTGGAATGTGATCACTGTGATGTTTTAACAGTTTTGGGATCACCAGAGCTTTTTGGCCTTAATAGCTGGGCATTAGTAGTTGCCTTTCATTAACTGATTGTGTTCAGCTCCAATGCTACCTAGTCCAAGCCATCACTCACTCTGATTTGCCTGAACTCCATACAGCTTAGGGGCAGTAAGTGTATTTTCGGCGCACTCAAGTGGTTTTGTTTGAAAATCCCCCAAAAATGTAATGACAAAGTTAATCACTAGATGATTTTCTCTTGGCAGCTGAGAATCCCAGGACAGCTGAGAGGAGAAAAGAAACTGAGGAAAACTATTGTGGTCAAAACACTTAAATGCCCCCCAGTTATCGATTGCTCCAGCCTGTGCTTCATTTGTGACTTCAGAAGAAGTGAGCACAGGGTCTCAACTCCACTGCATGTTCTGTGTGGTCACATATCAACACTGTAACACCTTCACTGATGGCCAGCAAGATCACTGCATTGCAATTTATCTCCCAAAAGAAACATTAAGCAGTAGTTTCTCACTAGTGGAACCAAGTACCTGTGTGTCACTGTGGCAGGGATGCTTTCCATCATGAAGTCACTCTTTAAATAAGCAATTGGAGCTTACTAGAGGCCTCATAGCAATTGCTGCTAAATCAGGTGCCCTGAGCCTCAGCACTCAATCAGGGAAGATGGGGATAAACCCTCTGGACACAGCTCCTTTCATAACTGAACCTCATGGCTGTGACTGTCAGTCAAGGAGGGTGGAGTGAATCTAATTTGGATAGTCCTGAATGATCTTACAAATGTTTATGGGTTCCTCATTCATGACACTGCCAGCCGTAAGAGACAGCAGAAAGCAAGTCCCTTTGTGCTGGCATTGCCAGGTCAACGGGGGCCTGGCAGTAGAGTGAAGTGGTCATCCTTGTTCACCAAACTTCTGTCATTATCCTACAGCTCATTTCCACTAATCCTTATGTCCTCTGTTTATGTAGCTATGGAGGAGAGAGCAACTCAGCGGGCAGAACGGAGGAGGAAACTAGAAGAAGCCAAACAACAAAGAGAAGAGGAAAAATTGGTAAGGAAAGTGGAAAATTAAATACAAGTCTCTTTCACACCATTCCAGTTACAAGAAATGCTGTTTTAACCCCAGAGTCAGGGACCAAGGCCTTTTATCCAAAACAGGAGTTTTATAGCTTGTGAGGAAGCATATGTCTGGCACACATCAGAAGTAGTTGTTATTGCTGCATTTGCATTCAGTGACCCCACTAGCCCTGCCATATCACAGGCAGAGACTTCATGTTGATGCAATTGCAATTCTAGAAGCAGCCTCTCTTACCAACCTCCAACCACTTCTCTCACACCTACCTCATGACCATAACTTGCCCTCAATGAGGATGGGAAGGGTAGAAGTGCATGCAGAGATCCCCTTGACTGGACCTGGTAATGGTGGGTTTCCCTTCCCCTGCCTTTCCTGTCTGGTCATGTGCAGCTTACGGACCTGCAATCTGACCTAGTAAAAATCCTGCATCTTTCTAGCAAATCTCTGCTGAAGAGAGAAGATACTGACAATATTTGCATAGTTAATATGCGAATTCTGTGATACACATCCAACAAAGGAGCCTTCTTAGCTTCAGGGCATTGAGCTCTTACTGAAAACATTGACAATAAGTTGCATGAGGATTAGAAAGCTCAGAACTGGGGTCCTAAAAGAACCAGCATTTGTTCCTTCTGCAAGCAAAAGAGATGCACTCTCACATGCAGGAGGCTGAAGCGAGCCTTAGAGAACACTTTAACCATAGAATGGACAGACAAGTATCGGGTTAGGTTTCCTCAGCTGTGGTTGCAACAATCTTGGAGATCAGAGCACACAGTCATAGTAATCGCACATTATGGTTGGTGTGGGTGTTAGGCCTTTGATGCATACACCAAGAGCAAAAGCTGTGTGAAATGGAAGTGGAGTGGGATCTGTGAGGGGAGTAGATAAACATTTAGAGAAGGATATTGTGCCAAGTATGACCAGCACTGAAGTAAAACAACTTCTTTGATCTTCAGTGCTTGGGGAAAGAAATGTTTGGATACCTGTAATGCTGCTTTGCATGAAGATGTAAAACTTCAGAGCCCAGAAGTACAGAACTGACTTCAGCAGTCAGGTTATCAATAAATAACGTGGTGTATGGTTTAAATTTTTTAGGAGAAGAGTGGGCAAATACTATAACTTAGGGCAAAGAAAAAAAAATATATATAGGTAGTAGAAGGATATATATACATAGGTAGTAGAAAGAACAGTCCCTCCTTCCTCTCCCTTCCACAGTTCATTATGCAGCACAGATCACATCTCATATGCGACAAAGTCTGCTTCCTTCTGAAGCTTCAGGTACTGGTCAATACTAGAGAAATATTCAGAAAGCTTAGAGGTCTGTGTGCTCTGAAAAGGTCTCATACACCAAATCAAATTTTACCTTCCTCCATTTTCTTCATTTCAAGGCCCAGCTGAAGGCTGAAGAGGAAGCACGACAGAGGAAGGAGGCCGAGGAAAAGGAAGCTCAGCAGGAGAAACGACGGGAGGAGAGAAGGCAGCAGAAGCTGGTGACCAAACACCTCACCTGTTTCCCCCCGCACCCTTTAGCAGGGATAGGGAAGAAGAGACATTACCCACTAGCACTCAGTCAGCAGCCAGAGTAATGGGAACTGAAGGTCTTCATTAGTAGAGCAGAGTTCCACAGCACAGCACCTTCTGTATCACCACCCCTCCTTTTGGCAACATTAAGAGAAGGGCTGTGGACCAAATGCACTATGAAGTATATACTGTCTCTGTCTCATCAACAGGATTAGAGGTCCCAGCTGGGGGATGTTCACTGCTGAGGTATAGCCACATAAGCCCCCACAGTGGCAGCATACTTCCAGTACTTTAAGGGCTGCTATAAAGAGGACCGAGGTGCTTTCTTCACAAGGAGGCACATGGAGAAGACTAGTGGCAATGGGTACAAGTTGCACTGGGAGATGTGTCATCTTGATATAAGAAATAGATTTTTTATAGTGAGAACAATCATGCACTGGAACAACCTCCCCAGATATGTGGTAGAGTCCCCATCACCAGAGGTTTTCAAGATGCAATGGCTAGATATTCTAGATAACCTCATCTAGGCTCCCTTTCCCACAAAAATTTGGGCCAGATGATCTTTCAAGGTCCTTTCCAACCTGGGCTGTTCTATGATTCTATGTTTGGCCTACTTCCAGGCTGCTCCTTCCATGAGTATCCCCCTCCAGCATTCACAATGATACCAGTCACAAACACACAACTTAAAAGTAAACAAGCCTGACAGATATATCAAGGGCAACTTTCCACCTGAAGAACAGAAGCATCTTCTCCTTGGAACTAGCCTAGGAATAGCCCTACTTCATTACTGTTACTTGGAAATAAGCTGTCCTAATAACAGAATCACATAACCCAAATAGCACATTTGAAATCCTACAGGAATTTAACCCACAGCTACTGTTCTACTTGGATTGAGTGGTTTAGAATGTTTGACCTTCATTCCTGAGTCTCAGTCAAAATATTATAATATTATACAGTTACACAATACCCACAACCCTCCCCTACTATTTAGGCTAGATCAAGTGGTAGGGTCCATGCATAAACTCAGAATAATTTTTGGACACGTTTTCAATCTAGTTCTATAAACATAGAAAGCTGCCCTCCTCAAGCTCAGCAAAGCACCCCTCCCCACACTGATGAAGGCCCATCAAAAGGAGGTTCCTGCTATGTCAGCACTGCTGATAGCCACAGATTATGACTCTGCTACAGTAACACCAAACTTCAGTGCTGAGGAAGGCCACATGCTGAAATAAATGGCCCAAGGAAATGTCCAGAAAACCATCACACCTTCCATGAGGATATTCAAGACAGTTTGTTCTGCTTTGTACCACAGGTTCTAGTACATGGGGTCATATCTGGTCTGGTCTGCACTGCTAAAGATGATTTCTGTGTTAGGTCAGGACCTCCAGCTCCAATATGACAATTTCTTGCCATTGCTTAACATCCTCTTCATCCAGAGTGAATTAAAACTACTAATCTTTGTATTGTAGAAAGAGCTGGAGAAGCAAAGGAGGCTGGAGAAAGAGCAGCAGCTCCAGAAAAAGGCCAGAGATCACTATGAGAAGGTCCTGCTGAGAAAGCTGGGAATGGTGCCATGGAAAAGGCTGAAGGAGCAAGCCAAGGAAAACCTGGTGGTAAGTGCTGAGGATAAAGGAAAGGACTGGTGCCGTGGCAGGAATGGAAAAAGAATGGATGCAGCATTCAGCAGAAACCTTAATAGGCTCTTAAGTCAGGAAGAGATGGAAAAAGCAAAAATTCTCCCTGCACACCCTGCCCTATATTAGTTCTTTAAATCAGCCCATCTGATAATAATCATGAAAGGTCATCAAAAACCCACAAGGGTGGCATCCTCATTTATAGCTGATTAAACAGGAACCAAAAGGAGAGAGAAAGGAATTAATTTCAATCTAATGAGAAGTCATCTTTTGTTAGCCTCCACTTGTCTGCTGTGCTAACTGCCACATGATATGATGCCAATAACATAGTGGGAGTTAGTTTAGTATATTACAGCCAAAAAAGTAAATTGAAGTTATGTGACATGAGCCTGTCAGTTCTCTTGTCCACAGCAAAGCTAATCAGTAAGACACCACCAAGCCACTGTAGTTATAGTAATTAAGCCCAGCCCATCACTTGGGCTTTCCCTCTCTCTGAAGTCACTGCTGGTGCTAGAGGTAGGACACCACAGGCGATAATCCAGCGATCTGTTATAGCCCAGCCATACCTTCAGTGCAGAATGGTCATAGCTTCCGAGACCTTGACACATAAATATTGCTAATGAAACACTTCCGTACATGACTGAATCGGCATGCCTTATCAGGGTTGGACTAGTGACACTCAGCCGTGTCCTGGAGATTTAGCCAGAGCCCAGGGCTAAGTTAGCAAGCTTCAGTTTAAGTCACTGGAACTGCAGCTGCTTACAGTAATTGACCACATGCACATAGGCCTCCGGCTGGAAAGAAAGAGAGGGATAGCAGCTGCTCTCCTTAAGTCCACCCTGGTGGTCAGTGTTATGGACAGCGTTGGACTAAACTGCTATAGGCCACACCTCTGCTCCATTCACAATAGGTTAAACTGAGCATCTAATTCAAAAGGATCTTCACTAGAAGTGATGCAGCAGTAGCCTGATAGAAAGACTGGTCTTGTTCCTTATGCTGACCCTTCTTTGTGGGAAACTATCCTGTAAGTTATTCCAGCTGTCAGACATCTGCATTTTGAGGGCACCAAAAAGCTGAGGTAATTTTCTAGTGTACCCAGTTTTCTGTAGGTTTATGTTTACATAGTCACTAGTCCAAGTAACTAGCTGCTGCCTCTGCTGCCTTTACTTAGGTGGCACAAAGGCACCACTGCTTGGGCCTGCAGAAGAAATGCCTGATGGCTTGGCTCCAGCACACCCAGGGGAGCCTCGCAGAGAAGGTGTCTCGGGCAGAGGACTTCCATTCCCATACGTTGCTGAGATGGGGTTTCAGAAACTGGCTAAAGGTTTGTGTGTAGCACAGTGAAGAAACAATACCAAGCGCGCTAGCTGCTGCCACGCTTTCTCCTCACCACAGTGCCACTTCACACACCTGCAGCGCAACCTCTGCTGAGTTACACTGTCCCCCTTCCAGCAACATCATTCCCTTCTTCAGAGACCTTCTTTCTGCTCTCCACTCTCCATTGGTCTCCTCCACCCAGGACACTCCCCTACGTACTGCTCCCTACCTCCAACCTCTGCACTTTCTCAGCCTGCTTCCCTGCTGATCTTCCTCCACTCCTGTCCCCGTTACCCTTCACTGCCACCGTCTCAGCCATCGCTCAATTTCTGCTCATTGAGCTGGGGGTTGGGAGAAAGAAGCCACTCTCGCCTCTTTCTCTGTGCTCCTTCCCTAGTACAAGGATTATCTCTCCACTCTGGAGGAGAGAGCGAGTACCGTCCATGCAACCTGCCTCATGAGGAAGTACTTCTGGGCGTGGTTCGATGTGATCATGGAGGAAAAGAGTACCTTATGGGAGAAGCTGAAGATTGCTACCGAACACAGTAACAAGTAAGTGTGTTCTCTTGCCAGCAGTTCTTTACCTGGGTTTAGTATACCCTATAGATTGTTTTAGAGACTACTTTTGACAGGTCAGTTATCTGCTCCCCAGGAACATGTGAAACATGTTCTTTACTGCTGGTATGCAGTATACTTATGTGATGTGCACAGACATCAGCAGAGGTTTGTGGTAAGAATTTTCCATGCAGCCTGGAAAAGAAAATTCAGTGGTACCCTTCACAGGACTTTTAAATCTGCTGAAAGAGAATACAGTGAAAGCGGATAAGTGGCTGAAACTTTCTAAGCTGATTAGCAGATCTGGCCATACAGCTTCTGCTAAAAGCTGCCTTAGGAAAATCTTTAAGTACAATTATAGCAAGCCAAATGATTGTGCAGGAATTACACTGCATTGTTTTGTCCACAGCAGATGATTTAGTTCACAAATCCAAAGTTGATCAACTAGAAACCCTACTTAAGAAATCTTTCAGTTTATGCCATCGTCAGCCTGACTTGGCAGTGAGAACTACAGCAGACAGTTCTACCTATCACAACTGGAGCTGGGGGCACCCAGTTCACTCATTTTCCCATAACTGCATTAGCTGTGCATTCTAACAGGAGGAAAAAACAATATTGTCGAAGTCTGTCAGAAAACAGAAGCATGTTCATCTACCTCACCACGAAAGCATGTCAGCCGCACACAGTCATGAATAGGCTGCGCCTGTGCATAGCCCAAGCAGGATCCGCAGCACCTTGGAGGAGGAATTAAATTAAATTCACCTCTTAGGTGGCAGAGCAAACCTGTTCTAGCTTGCAGTGTCAGTAAGATCAGAACAGTGCATGATTTAACCCAACAAATCAGCAAACTGGAAGAACCAGGGAAAATTCAGACCCAGGAACAGACTGGATTTATTCTGTGTATGACCTCATATTAGGAGCATAATCACCTGTCATTCCTCATTACCTCTTCCCCCACTGACCGGCAAAAGCCGGTTCAGACCTTGACATAGCAAACTATTCTTTAGAAAGGACTGTTGTTCCCTATTGCCCATATGGGAACCCAGGGCAAGGCACCTTTGGTGGGGTGATTGAAATCAGGTAAGAATTGGAGCCCAGTTGCCACCAACCCAATGGTTGGTGTGGACCAAACAAGCCTGCGTTTTTCCTGAAGAAACTGCTTTCACAGACCCTGTTTATTCTTCAAGAAACATCTCCACCTTCAGAGCGCTAAGCAAACACCAGCTAATGAATCCTGTCAGAGGGAGGAGCAAAATTCTTGGGGGAGAGGAATAGAGAAGGGCAGTGTGTTATTTTTCCCTGGGATGATTGACATAATGGTGTGGTCTGCATTCAGATGTTTAACACGTCACAGCCCTGACTAGCAGCAGAAAGGACAAATCCCACAGGTATTTTAAGGGAGTTCTCCCCTCAAGTAGAAGTCGGTTTTTGATTACCTGTTCTGTTATGCACACATTTGCATGTCGTCTACTTGTTCTTTGTGTCCCCAATTTCTTTAAGGAGACTCATGCTGACCACATTCAAGGCGTGGAAGCAGTACCCGTTACTGATGAAAAAGGAAAGAGAGAGAGAGGAAAGGAGAAACCAGCTACGCAGGAGAGTAGCTGAAATTCTCCCCGACTTCCAAACATGACAGAAGAGAGTCAAAGGAGACTGGGAAAGGGGACAAAAAGCCTGATTCTGTTCCATGCTATCTTCCTACTGAGTGAAACAAATCCAAGGGGAAGTCCTGTCCAGTGGAAAGGGTCTTAGAGCCAAAGGAAGCTCCCTGGGGCCACTGCTGTCATAAACTAAGCATATATGGAAACTTCCCTGACGGTCTCGCTTTGCTGGTGGCAGTGAGGCCTAGGTAACCAAAGCTAGCACAGGGTGTGTTTCAGGCCAAGACCACTTCTACATGCAGAGCTGCAGCACCCACACGAATCCTCCTCCACCACAGGAAGCACAGAACAGAACTGCACCTATTTTTCCTTAAGCAGTAACATATTGCTTTTGTTGCCAGTGCTCTGTAGGGTGACACAGCTCGATCAGAGAGCACACAGACCTGACTGTCAGCTGCCCCCTAACCACTACTGCGAACTTGGCCACCGGGAGAATGTTTTCTGGCTAACTGTGCCAGGAAAGTTTGGATTGGAGGAGGAGAGGGAAGAGCCATTTATGCAAATCATATTTGCTAATGGTCCAGATCATAGCATCACATATGGACAGTCTAAAACCTGGATTCTTTTTCAAGGGACTGACTAGTTCGCAGCACTGGCCAGCTCACAAGCACAGTGCTTTGACTGTGGTGGCAAGCAGTGATTCCAAGTTTATGAGCCACTATTTTCTTGTCATGTAAACATTTTCCAAGCTGGTTAACTGTAGTATTTAAGGATGTATTGTACAAGTCTGTCTGGGCCTTTTCACTTGATCCAGCAGTTCGAAAAACCCAAAAATCCAAGAAAAAGGCAGACTGTATTTTTACATAAGCTAAAGCTGACATGATTAAAATGAAAGTTTCTTATCACTGTTTAACCTTAACCTGCAGCATAGTGCAGACAGGGTAATGCCGCTAAGGTACAGTATGTCTTGTCTTAGCAACAGCATAAGGCAGGAATCTGGAATTGCTTCCCCCTCACAACAAGATAGGCAAAGTTCTCTCCAAAAGCATTTGGCAGTACAGGAGCACTTGGGTAACGCCAGGAAAACGACTTTTATCCATTGTACCCGATAATTTTTATGCACTGAAAGTTTCCAATAAACCCAAATCTGAAATGAGCACAACTGAGTTGTTGGTGCAAATGTGTTAGAAGCCAACTGAACAGCACTGGACAGAAGTCCAGGGTCAGGGACCTAGACCAGCACTAAGTGCTGCATATGAAGGGTCATAGGACAGGTTGGGTGCCCAGGCACAGCAGCAGGCTCCAGAGCTTTAGCGCCGGGAGTTTGTCCGTGTGGAGAGCTCACAGGGATGTGGTCAGAGAGCCTCCCTGCCCACACAAGCCAGGCTGTCGAGCAGACTCCCGGAGCAGGTCTGAAGAGGACTGTCACTCCCAGCTTACCTCCCACAGCCAGCCTCTACAACACACGAACCTTTACCATCTCCCAAAGGCTGATCAGAGACCTGACCACCAGCAGGTCAGGCGAGCGCATTATCCAAGTGCAGGGAGCTGAAGGTGCCTGCATGGAGTGTGGGCGAGTACAGACCATCTGGCTGCATTAAAGGCAGATTGTGAGAGGAAGCGACAAGCTGAGAGAAGGCTGAGTAACTCGTATTGCGGGGAGGAACGGGCACTTGCTGCAGTAGGGCAGCATCTTTTGCAGAGAACTGAGCCAAAGAGGCAGAGAGGAGCAGAGCTGGGGGCTGAGCTACCAAACTAATGCCCCAGAGGTGGGCGAGTACAGACCATCTGGCTGCATTAAAGGCAGATTGTGAGAGGAAGCGACAAGCTGAGAGAAGGCTGAGTAACTCGTATTGCGGGGAGGAACGGGCACTTGCTGCAGTAGGGCAGCATCTTTTGCAGAGAACTGAGCCAAAGAGGCAGAGAGGAGCAGAGCTGGGGGCTGAGCTACCAAACTAATGCCCCAGGCCAGCCAGCAGCCATGCTTAGAGCTAATGGCAGCAAGCTGTGGCAGCAGTGCGCTTTCTCTTTGTCTGCTCTCTCCCCTTGGAAGCCTCTCCCATGTAGTGCCTAATGAGCTCCTGGAACACCTCTGAACCAGCCCTTACGCTCCCAGGTTACTGGTGGCCTTTTCCTAAGCTGAATTCCTCCTTACCGGGGCTTGGCAACGAACACAGCAGGGCAAGTCTCCAGCCCACCCTCCATCTGGAACCACGGCATAAGGAGAGCAAGCCAGAGGATGAAAGGCTGAGGACACGAGGGCTTTCTCAGCTAGACAGAAGGCAGCAGCGTGGGCAGCTGGAGGTGGCGCCCACCACAGCTGTAAGGGGAATAGGAGGAGTATGGAGCAGTAGAGTGAATGAGCCCACTTGCAGCCTTGTCTTGACCCTAGCAACAGGCTGAGCAGGGGTTGAATCTACATCTCACACACTAAAAGGGTGCCCCAATCCCCTGGCTACGCAGGGGTGCATCCAGTTTACTGAACTGCAGATTCTTCCCCCAGCAATGCCATGCTGATGTGTTTTGTCCTTGAGGTCCACAGCTCCCACTCACCGCAGTACCCACTCACCATCCATGAAAATAGTGCTGCTTCTGTGGAGCACAGCTTCCCCCACCCAGAACTTGAAGTAGTCAACACTCACTTTTGAAAACTGCCCTTTGTCTCCAATACCTTCTAGAGTTTTCTTCTATTCTTAGCAGCTTTGACAAAGACTGTCCTATTAAGATGCTTTTCCGCTGGACAGTTCAAGCAGTAAGAAGCAAAATAGATGATCTGGGAGGAGCTGTACTTTGACGCCCCTTTGCCCTTGCCTGCTGCTAATTCCATGCTAGCACTGAGCTGAAGCTTCAACTGAATCCAGCTGAGGTAAAGGGATGATGTTCAGAGATCAGGCGCATTCTGGTCAGAACCTGGTCAGAATCAAAGGGGAGATGAAGAAGCTCCTCAACTTCCCCAGTCAATCCACACCTGGCTGAAACAACTCAGACCTCCTTGGCAGAAGCAAGGCTGTGCCTGATGATGCTGTTGAGACACTGCACAGGTCACCCCTAAAATCCCTGTCATGATGTTAAGTGTTTTGCAAATTAAAGCTCCAGCAACCAGTTCCCAGCAGGAGGGTGACAAACAAGAGAGCCTGTCAGACCAAGGAAACAGCTTCAGCCCGCAGCTGTGCCGGAGCATCCCTCCTGCTCCAGTACTTGGTTAAATGGAGTTGTCAATGCCTTAATGCTGGTCATCAGCCCACACTCTCACAGCTCAGGCGCACTCCTGCCTGTCAGCTCCTTGCTTTTCTTAGCAAGAGAGGGAGGTGGCTGCACAGCCAGACTTCCCTTCTCCTGTGCAGGGATGGGGGGAGGATTTTTGGTTTGGTACAACAGCAAACGCAGAACCCTGAAATGATCACAAACACCCCTTCTCCCCAACCCCAGCTCACACCTGCCCTCCAGAGTTCTCACACGCTTTCCCAAAAACCTTGACCACAGAAATATCTTCTCGGTAAATCTGTACACCAGCCTCTTCAAAGTCTCCCAGGCCCAGCTCAAACTGGATTTGAAACAGTGCCTGAAGTATTAAACAATTTCCTCTGCTCCCCCCAGGCAAACAAGACTGTAGCTGGGGACGGCAGTTAGCCTGGGAAGGGTCTATGAACCACTGCAGTCTGATCCACAGCTCACATCTTTGCAGACCTGTTATGTGTTATGGATACCAGCCACAGTAGCGCACCTTGGCCTTCCCCAACACACAAGCTGCCACTCCAGACATGCTCCTCCTGCTGCATAGGGACAACATGGCAAGCCACCACGGGAAAAAATAAAAGCTGGGGAGAGACTGTGATCTCATTGGCACCTGAGTTAATGAAACTGGTGGCTGCTGGGGTGTCGGAAGCCTGACATCATTCTGCACACACCACTCTTGCCTAACTACAAACCTGGTTCACTGCTAGGGCAAGGTCCTTGTTGTCAGTGAGTGCAAAGTATACCCTTCAAAGAGAAATAGCTGAACAGCAGACAGAAGCACCACCCAAGCAAATCAAAGCAGAGCTCTGGGAACAATCAAAGGCACCTGGGATTCTACTCATTAAAAGTCATCTTGCCTTTCAACAGATGTCCCAAGATACCGACAGGATCAAAAGCTACATCTCTTCACACGATCTGCACGGAGAATACCCACGTCATTTCCAAGCATGGCTTAGAAGAGGGTTTAAAGAAAGAGATTGTTCCTTTTTGGGGTTCTGGATATATTGTGTGGGCAGGTGTAGGAGGGAAAGCAAGACACTGGACAAAAAGGCTAGGAACCTGATCAGATACAAACACTTAGTATCTGATAATGGATTACTCTCAGGATGCAAGATCCTGGTTCAAATCCCCACTGCGGGGGAACATCCCTAGTTTCCAGGGTGGTGAGAACCGCCAAGCACGTCTCTGTCTCATCCCAACACCAACAAACCCAAAGGTCAACTTTTGCAGAACTTGTTTCCTAGCTTCTCCTTGACCTGTTGCTCCCTTATTCCCACGTCCAGCTCACAGCTAAATAGCCATGAGATGATGGCAGCTTTTGGTCATCTGACCTGGCTGAGCGTGTTGGCATAAATCAACAGGCCACTCCACAGATCATTTCTAATCATTTATTTTGATTCATAATTGCATCCATTTGGAAACACTGAATACAATGCAAAATGGACACAAACACACACACACACACACACATCAGTCCTTTCAAAGCAGCTCACAAATATGTTTCACAAAGTTTCTTCCTAGAGCTTAGGGTGGAAAAAAAAAAAACAGCCAAAAAAACCCCCAAATACCCCAAGGTAGACAGTTCTTCCAGAGCCCGTCATTCTTCACATTATCATTAGAAGAGTTCATCCATAAAGACAAGATCTTGGGAGGCTGAATTCCCACATTTCAGAAAGCACCTCACCTGTCTGCAGAAAGATGTACAAACATCCTGACAGTGGAAGAAAATCCTAGGAAACTGAAAGCAATACAGGAAAACACATCCATAATCACACACGCTTCCTGCCCTAATGAGGCAATATACATTCATATAGAAGGAAAAAACCAAGCACATTATTAAGACATTAGGCAGCGAGGCAGTATCCATTCTATCTTCAAAAGGAACTTTACAGCAAATGGTTTCATTAAGACACTTGAAAGCAACCTACTTTGAAGGAAAAAAAAAGCACCATCATAGCATGAAGGCTGAAATGTGATTAGGAGTCACAAGCAGTGCCAACTCAGGCTCACCAGTGACTTTTGCCATCTGAGGACAAGTTAAATGGAGAAACAGTCAATGTGGGGAACTGTGACTTACCTACAAAAAAGCGTGATATAAGAAGACACAGTTAAAAGAGTGCCAAGCCACCATTTGCAGGGTGTTTCTAATAGTGCACAGTTCTTAGTATAGTCACCGAACAGTAGGGTGCTGGCGTTTGGACACTGAGGGTTTAAACACTACAACAGCAGTAAGGTCAGAACCTGGGCACCCGTAAAAGTTGCCCTGGTCTGCAGAAGTCTACACAATTTGTAAAACAACAAATGCCTCTTAAAGGGTCATGGTTAAAGCAGGATAAACTGATTTCCAAGTCTGGTTGGAGAAACATCAAGGCTAGCTATTACCAAAATCCCTCCCCGCTTCTGACCAGCTCTGAGTCCTCTCCTTTGACCCAGGGAGAACTTTTCATGGGCCAGCTGGCGGGCATGCATA